AGAGAGAGAGAGAGAGAGAGAGAGAGAGAGAGAGAGAGAGAGACAAAGAGAAATATTATTCGTCGAAATTTGTTAAGGAATAATGCTCTCCGGTTTTCAGCGTGACAACTAGCGTGGTAACGAGAAAAGGATATACAGGCCGCCAACAGACGTCGCTAGGCGACGCTAGGGTGTCCTGGCGCATTGACAAGATTATTCTATATTCTTAGTCCCGTGTGTCGCTTAATAAAGCCGCGACTGTGATCGAGTAGCGATCCGCAAGACGAATCGTGGAACATCTTGGTTTGCCGGAAGATGAGCGCATTGTATTCCCCTTGGACTGTGTATCGAGATAACGTGTCATTTATGTCGTTATATCGTGTCATTAGAGTGAAACGTTACGTAAAAAACGATATCCCTCGCCTCGTCCCTTTATCGTTCTCGTGAAACCACGTGAAACGAAACGAGTGGAAGTCTACTCGCGCGCTTGCACCGAGATAAAGAATCGAATCCGAGAGAAAACGTTGTTCACGATGATGCGTGAAATCTGTCGACAAATCGTTCAAAACTATTCTTCCTTCTCTTCTCCATTGTTTCCTTCGCGGTTTGTTTATCGAGTTTGATCGATGATTTGATAACGCGTTATCGACATAAGATAAAAACGTGATCGTTGTTTAGACATTGAAGACGAGATAAAACGAGGTTAACAATTAACGAGTTTCTTTCTTAGATTAATCAACGGAACGGCGAGGAAAGAGGCGCGATTCGTTCTCCTGATAAAGCGAGGATTAATTATTAATTAAACGTGTAATTATTTTTTCCCTTCGGATCGCGTATCGAATGAAACGAGACGATCGATCCCGGTCGTTTAAGATCGCGCCGATAACTCTTACCTTGCCTAAAATTAATCAGATTTCATTTTTTTTATTTTCTCGTCAAAGGAACGCGGCAACGAAAATAAATAGTCTCGAAATCTCTTCCGATCGATTTATTTCGCTTTCTATTTTTATTTGCGAAGTGCAGTACAGTATGTACATATACCGTGAAACGTTACATACTTGACGATCGCGTCACGTTCACGAGGTAACCCTCGACACAATCGCATTCCCGTTATATTTAGCTCTTAAAAATGGATAATAAAAAGACAATTCGAATCTCGTATCATCGATCGAACAGCTTCAACTGCCATTGAACTTGAAAGGCAGCACCAGCAACCCGAATCAGCTTGCCAAAAAATCTTCATATACACGTATATATTCATATATGTATATTATATATTGAATAGGCACACTGCGGGTGAAAAAAAGAGATGTCAATCTCTCAACGATGAAAAAATACTCTCGAAATACGAAATCTCTTTCTCGATCGGATCTGCATGCAAGCGAATCTCTGCGTGCTCCCCGAGGGGGGAAACCACGTGTACTTATTCGCTCCCGCTTCCACCGTAATAAAAGTCGACCACCGCTCACGATCTCGACCGGTCCGCACCGAAATCCGCACTGTTGGGGGACAAACGGAGGCGGCCCGAGCTTTTCGGTCGACGATCGCGTTCAGTCGACGTTGATCGCTCGGCAAAATCGGGCGGAAACACGAACGTGGTCCGTTGTACAGAGCGTTATAGGCTGGCCGTGGCCGTGTGATCGTGCGTTGTGCAATCGGCGGATACAATACAATACATCGCCAAGGATCGACCGGTGAGTGATTGGCACCGGGATCCTTCTCGTTTTCTAATCACCGATTATTTTTGGAACGGAGAAAAATCGGTTCGTCGTTTCGCTTTCGAATCGAATTCGAGCCAAGAGAGAGAGAGAGAGAGAGATTCTCTTTCTCTCCGCGCTTCGAATTACAAGATTCGCGCGCTTCTCCTTCGGCGAGTGGATCTCCACTCGTTCCTCCGTTCAGATCCTTTGAACGCTCGAATCGAACGACTCGATCGATGAGATTATGTTTCGAGAAGGTTGGAAAGTTTTTTTCTTTTTTTTGGAAAATGAATGAACGAACGAATGAATATTCATACCGTGGGTGGTACGTGGATATATTTTATAGATTGCGGTAAATTCGATCGAGGAAAATGAAAAATTATGTGAAAATAAGAGTTCGACAACAGTTTTGCTTACATCGTTCGAATCATGTTGGAACGCTTGACACGTGTTTTTTTTTTTTTTTTTTTCTTTTTAATTACGATATCTATGCCTGTGCGTCAAGACTCAAGGACAAAAATGTTAAAAATATCTTAATTATTCGCCGATTTCGAGTGTTCAAAGAGGTATGATCGCGATAATCGATTTCGATTTTTAATTATTCTTTTTGCTGTTTCTCGACCGGTATAATCTATCGCGCTAATCCATCGTCAATATTTTTAACGGTATGCCGTTTCAATTTATCGTACCTGAGATTCTTATCGTACGTATCGTGGTCTTAATGTCTTGTTGTTAGTTGCAGTTGCACACTCAGCTCATCACTAAGCATTAAGAATACATAAGAAAGTATGAAGTCGTCTTATAGTCGAAGAAAAAAATTTCGAATCGAAAAAAAAAATATATATATATGAACCGTATGAATCCTTTCCTTCGAGGATTTTGTCTCTCAAAAAGGATTCGACACTGTCCTTTTTCTTTTTTTCACCGAGGATTCATCGAGAGTGTAATGCAACTACGATTACACGATTAATCGTAATAATCTATAATCCTCTTCAGCTTTCCCAAAATATATTTTGATGAACGAAGATTATTAAACGGCAAGGCTTTTACTCGTACAGAAACCAGTTTTCAACGAGCTAGTATGAAATTCAATGAAGAAATAGATGACGTAAAACAGATAGACTCTTTTTCACGTTCAAAGATATCAGGTAATGCGAGGTATTACCGTTTCAGAGCACGCGCACGTTGCATTTATTTAAATAATTTATAAATCTTTATAAATGATATTTTTTTCCGAATCAATTGAATAATTTGTTACATAAAAAAGAAGAAAGAAAAAAGAAAGAACTGCCTTTTCCAATTCATGCTTCTTTCAAATGGCAACTTATATTTTCTTTTTTTTTTTTTTTTTTTTTGGGAATTATTATGGGTATTCGTACTGTGTATGCGTGTGTATGTATGGATGCAACGAAGAATTTTCGCTGACTCGACAGCAAGCAATCGATAAAAAAAAAATAAAATTTCGACAAAGTCGAAATACGGATGGAAGAAATTTTTGCAAAATTTCACGGAAAAATTTGTTTAAACGTAATAATTCTAACTAGCTTCGTCAGTGACACGTAATACTTACGAGTTTATATTACGAGAAAAGACATTGGAGATTCGGCCAAGTTATGTTGTTATGAAGTTTAAATATTTATTAATTTGAGAGGAAACGAATGAAAAACGCGATTATTAATTATCGAAATTGTGCTGTTTAAAATATTTAAAACTAACGTAATAATTTAACGCAATCACGTAATAGTATTTAATTATTGCTTCGTCCTTCGCTTTGATCCGTATAAATCTCTTTTTTTTTTTTTTTCTTACATGATATCCCGTTTCACGATGCTTTCATATTTACCTATTGATCCGGTAATCTATCGTTTCACGATAAATATGTTTTCCCCCTCCCCCCAATATGTTCTTCGATGCTTATTCCTAAAGAAATTCGACGGAAATAGGATTTGGGGAAGACGGAAAAAGATTCGTTACGATCACGTAAAAATTTTTCTGGTCGCACACGGGGAACACTGCGCTCGCTCCCTTCTTTTCAAGGAAAGAAGAATCGTTTCTCTGAAAGCGCGGAGCGTTTCGTTTATACAATAAGAAAAATTAACGAGCTGGAAAAAGTCGCGGCGATTTATTTTTCTTTTTATTCAACGGAAAATTTCAAGGGCTTCCTCGAAATCTATCGATCCGCGAAATTGACACGTTTCTTTGTCTTTTTTAGATCCAAGTTCTAAAAAAAAAAAAAAAAAGAATATAAATAATAATTTGTCGGGGATGAAAAACGGACAAGGGCGATCGATGAAGGTTAAACTTTTTTGTCTTTTTTTTTTTTTTTTTAGAACTTGGATTTAAAAAAGAAAAAAAAAGGGGTAAATTTCCCGGATCGAAAGATTTCGAGGAAGCCCTTGAAATTTTCCGTTGAAAAAAAAAAAAAAAAAAATTTGTCGGGGAAGAAAATCGGACAAGGGCGATCGAGGAAGGTTAAACTATTTTGACTTTTTTTTTTTTTTTTTTTTTTTTTTTCTTTTCTACTTCTGATAGCCGCACAACATCGACGCCGCATGTCTCGTTATCTTTGAAACAACCAGATAACAGCGTGAAATTGAACAAAAGTACAGACGAAAAGTGAACAACGAGGGGAAAATGATGATGGTTATTTGGATAGTGTTCTCCACCCTCTTGGCGTTCTCCAATGAAGTCCTGGCCAATCCTGTCTCCGAGAAGAGCGGCGGACTCACTCTCAGAATCATTCACACGAATGACATGCATTCGAGGTAAAAAAAGGTTTTTTTTTTTTTATATCCTCTCTTTTGCTATTCTTCCTCTTCTCTTCTTGGGAAGAAGAGGAGAAAATAATTATAATTATATATTGTATAATTATATATCGCCATTGGAATGGATTTTTCTATCGTTATTTTTGTAAAAATCTTTGTAAAAAAAAAAAGAAAGAAAGAAGGACAGAGCATCGATCCCGATTCAATATCGATCCAAACAATGGGAAGATAAAAAAAGAAATATTTCGCAAAAATTTCGATTCTTGACATCCGCATTATGCGCAAACAAGCATATTCGATTCCTATTTCTATTGCTCTATCTCTCCATTGTTCCACCTTTATCTTCCTATTATTTTTGATTTCTATCAAATTTCTATTATACAAATCCCATTAAAAATTCTTAACGAACGTGCAATTAAAAAAAAAAAATCCACTCCTAATCTGTAGTGTAACATATTCGTTTTGCTTTATTTATTAAGAAAATATTTAATCAAATGGAGAAAATGCATCGTGTACGTTTAATTCGTACATTGTCCCGCTGTTTATCTTCAACACGTGTATTGTTTCAGTTAAATATTTAATCAGTTGAAATATCAATGACACGCGATCACATTCTACACTAATTGCAAACAGTCTAATGATAATTAACATTAACCGTCGACCGATTTTAATCGTTAATTTTCAATCGTTGATCGAATACTCTATGTCGTGAATCCAAGGCATTGTTGTTCGCTTTTCAATTTTCTTTCTTTTTCTCGCTTCTTTCCTTCTTTTTTTTCTTTTTTTTTTTTTTATATAGTACACGCAATAATAGCTCCACGATTTCGTCCACGCTAGATATGTACGTACGTGTATTTTTTTTTTCCCCTTCTCTTTTAAAGAACGTGTCTCTTAACAACGCGTTACGTCCAATGCCAAGCTAATTTGTTTATCGATTCACCGACTTACGTACGATAATAAAAATGTCAAGTATAACATGATCTTTTTAATTTGTTTCTTAAGTTTCTTACTTACGAAGAAAAAACGCATAATACGAGAATTTAATAAAAACGATTATTTTTGTTCGCAAAAGGCGAAGGATGAAGAAAGATGGAGATCGCGAATTTTACAATACAAGACAATACAATTATAAAAGACTATTATCTTTCCATTCATCTATCCGATCCGATCCGTTGATGCGCAAATAAACGATTAATGAAATAATCGCATGGATATTCACAGATTCGAACAAACGTCGAAATTGTCAGGCGTTTGCTCAGCGAAAGAGGCGAAAGAGAAGAAATGCTATGGAGGATTTGCCAGATTGGCGACATTGATCCGGCAAGCACGAAGATCGGCTGTCCCCTGCCTCTTCTTAAACGCTGGGGATACGTATCAAGGATCTATCTGGTACAATGTGTACAAATGGAAGATAGTGGCTAAGTTCATGAATCTTTTGGCTCCAAACGCCACGGTACGTGTTAAGATCAATTTCCTCCTTTGATTCTTAGATTAAAATTATATATTTTTTTATCATTCTATCGCATCCTCCGGATTCGTTTCTTAACCCAATAATGATTAAAATTCGAAGGAGCAGTTGATGCGAATACTGTTGGAATAATATAAAATTAAGACAGTTTAATTGAATAATCGAATTATTTTTTTTAGAATAATCTTAGGAAAATTATTATTTGTCTTAACAATAACGATATGCCGTTTCCTTTTCTGTTGATTATTAATTACAGAGCTTAGGGAATCACGAGTTCGACGATGGCGTAGACGGTCTGATACCGTTCATCCAGAACGCCACGTTCCCAATTGTGACTTCCAATCTGAATTTAAGCAAACAACCAAACTTGGCCGCCACAAAGTTGCTAAATAGCACGATACTGACCGTGAACGGAGTAAAGATCGGTATAATCGGTTATCTGACGCCTGACACAAGGATAATCTCTAGAACGGACAACGTCATTTTCCTGGACGAGGTGCAGAGCATACGAAGAGAGGCAAAGGAATTGAAACATAAGGGTGTGAATATATTAATCGCCGTTGGACATTCTGGGTTTAAAACGGATAAAAGAATCGCTCGAGAAGTAGAAGATATCGATATAGTGATCGGCGGACACACGAACACTTTTCTTTACAATGGGAAACAACCGGATAGAGAAATACCGGAAGGGCTTTATCCAACTGAAATAACGCAGAAAAGCGGGAGAAAAGTTTATGTGGTTCAAGCTTTCGCTTACACTAAATATCTTGGCAATTTTACGGTAACTTTCAATGATAAGGGAGAAGTAACCAATATTAGTGGCAATCCTATTCTCGTGGACAGTAGTATCGAACAGGTGAGTTTAATTTTAACTCGTTAATTTTGTTCCCATTTATTTTTCGAAAGATTTATGACAAGTTTATTCCCGAGAAGAAGAAAGTTTCCTTACATGAAAACTTCCTTTTTCTATTATATATCGATCGTCAATCTCGATCAAGGATGATGTTAAGTCTGAGAAGATTGCCGTTTTTGAGAAGAGTTTAATAATCGATACTTATAATTGTATATTTTTGATTCCAAGAGCGACATACTTCAGACGAGACGATTGACTCAACGGCAATCGACATCATTCTAGTTCGAAGAAATTTCGAATAATAGATATACATTGATCTCTGATTATCTTGATATCTTTGTGCACTGATCACCAGTTCGATTTGAGAAATTTTCCTCTAACTTGGAGATGCGCGATATCATTGGTTATTTGTCGTGCCCCATCGTGAAAAATCGTCCGATCCTTCTGTTGGACATGATTACCTATTGTGGCATTGTGAAGAACATCTAATTGATACTTCGTTGTGAATACAATCGTGCTCTATGAAAGATCCAGCTCTCGTATTTCCATTACGTTTGTAATACTACTTCAAAAAGAAAATACTTCAAAAAGAAAATACATCAACGATGACAAGCATCAACTTCTACACATATATAAATATACACCAAAGAGTATTTGACACATGTATATATAACAACTTAACAAATCTACCATTATAATATTATTGCGGACGCGAACAAATTTATTTGACGATAAATTAGATAACGAGGACTATTGATCGATATTGAAAAATATATCCTAAATAATTAATTAAGATTATTATTTATACAAATTATAAGAAAAATTGTTGCAATAGTTAGATTTAATTGTTTTTGTTGAATTGCGCATTAAATAGAAATTTTAACATTTTATAAATTAATTGGTGATAATTCTCCAATTATATTTCTTCATATTCTATCATATATACTTATGTTTCTATATTTCTTATCTATCTTTTTTTTTTTTTTGATAATATCAATAAATTTTGATAATAAACTTGATCTAATATACATATATGCTACAATAAATTGGACATGGATAATAACAGAGAAGATTTCTAGATCAATGCATATTAATTATTTATTTATCTGAATTTGAATCAAAAAAGAATATAGGGAAGAATCAAATTCCAAACATGACATCATAGATAAGATGTACGATAATTTATAAATTAGTTCCACAATATTATAATAGAAAAAGCTTTCTCTTAATAAATTTATTCAACAAGAAAAAATATTCTGTATAAATTTTAATTATATGTATAACTTAGTTATAAATTTCATATAATATTTTCTTGTCCTTTATATTTTTTTATAATTGTATTAATAAATAGTTTCTTATTTTTGTTTCTTCATAGGCAGAGGATATTTTACACGAATTAGAACATATGAGAAGAAATATTGATAATATTAGCGAAACAATAGTTGGAAAAACTCGAGTTCTTCTCGAAGGAGATAGTAAAATTTGTAGACAAAAAGAATGCAATCTAGGTAATTTGATTACAGATGCCATGATTGATTATAATGCTGGCGAATATGCAGATCAAAATAGTTGGACAGATGCTGCAATAGCTCTTCATAATAGTGGTAGTATTAGAACTTCTATCACAAGAGCTAATGATGATAAAGTTACAATGAGAGACATTCTTAGTGTGCTACCTTTCCAAAATAACATTGTAAAAGCTTCGTTAACTGGAGAAATGTTATTATCTGTATTAGAATGGAGTGTTTATAATCTAGAAAAGAATAATAGTATTAATCTTGTTGGGGCATTTCTACAAATCTCTGGACTTCAGGTATTTAATTAAATATAACTAATAAATTTAATAAAATACATGTGTTCATATTCATAAAAAATTATTAAAAAATCGGAGAACATAATATAATATTTATATTAATAATAAAAAACATTTAAAATATCTAGGTGATCTATGACTTATCTCAACCAAAAAATTCAAGGATAGTTTCAGTAAAAGTGTTGTGTGCATTTTGCAATATTCCAACATATAGCAAATTAGAAAAAAATCAAAGTTATAATGTACTTCTGACTGATTTTATGCAAAGTGGTGGCGATGGATATTCTATGTTAAAGAATCTCCAAACTCAACCTCTTGGTATATTTATATATAAGTCTTGCCAAATAAAATTTTTTAATATTTATTATTTGCGATTTCATAAAATGTTTAACAAATATAATAATAACAAAATATATATATATTTTTTTTTTAGGTATTACTACAGCAGATATATTAATCGAATATTTGAAAAAACATAGTCCTGTGCATCCTGCTATTGAATGGAGAATTACTTACTTAAATGATCAAATTATGCATATATATAATAATAGTTCTAACAGCATATATCAGTTTATCAAATTAGCAATTTTACTACCAATAATTAGTTTGTTACTAGCAAGATAGATTCTATCTTCTATATATAATACACACTGAGAAACCGACATTCAGTATTTTAAAACTTCATAATTTATATCCACATTTTATGTACGTTTTACCTTTCTCACTACCTCAAATATGATATGTATATTACAAACTATTTTGATGTTATTAGTAAAAATATCATAAATACTTAATTATTCGGTATATAATGAAAATATTTTAATTAATATTTTATATTTTGGATTTTTGTCAATTAATATTTAATAAAAATAATAGAATACATATATCATATATATTATTATAAACATTGAATACAGATTCAAATGTTAATATAGTAAATAAACATATTTATTATAAATATATTTATAATACGATATATAAATATATAGTACAAATATTAATAAATTATTAAATAGATAAATTATTAATAGATATGTATAGAAATATTCTATTTAAAAAAAAAAAAAAATAGCTTCAAATTCATATCTTTTATATATATAAAAGATATGAATATATATATATATATATAAAATATATTATTAATTTTTTTTCTTTGTATAATTTTTATTGTTTATTATTTAAAAATCAGGAATTTCGAATCGATTTCCATTCAAATCATAAACACGTTTCAAAGTTTCTACCACATTATTCATTTCCTCGCAAGGCATTGGCACTAAATCATATAATACTTCAATCATTTTTAACAAGTCATCAACAATATGTTTATCCGATATATTTCCTTCTGTCGCAATATCGACATAATTATTGAATTTTCTTAATACATGATTAATTTTGCTTTCATCTTCTTTCTTCTTAATTAAACTCTATAAAAGAAATAGATTACAAAAATAAATAATAGCAAGATAAAATTTCTTAAAATATTTTAATTATTAATTAATTTACTTTAAAGGATTTTAAGTTGTAATATAATGGCCAATTTTCTTGACATGCTAGACAATCACATTTAAAATAATATTGTTTCAGAAGTTCTTTTTGTCTCTCTTCTTTTGGAGTAATTGCATAATGTTGACCATAATTATCATATAACTTAAAAAAAAGAATATATCTTTTATCACATTATTTAAATTATTCAA